TTTAAGAACAAGTATGATGTTTGCTGACATGTCAGGCAAACAAATGAAATAAGAACTGTTCCCTTAGGTACTCAGCTTCTTTAAATACGGTGAGAAATGTGAGGGAAGGGCATCAGAAATAACAATAAACTGTTTAAACTCCACAAAAGGCAACTTAAAATGACAAAAGATCCATTTTATATCATTTGCTACTTTCTTTCTTCTGTTGCCTTTCCTAAAGGCAATAGTAGGAATTAGGGCAGCTCTTAACCTATTCATTGATAGAGAACTTTCATGTAATTCAGATATCAAAAGTAGTGCTCATTTTCTCCTCAAATTCCAGATAATTTTGTCTTCTGCCAGTTCCCCTGTTTTGCCCTAATTTCATGTGGAATATATATACATACATACATATATATATATATATATATATATGATTTACTTCAGCTTGTATCTAGATTTGAAATCAGATGTGGTCGGGACACTTGCTGCTTTTGAGCATCTGTCTGATATTGGTGAGTTGGATGTTGTTCTCTCTCACACTCCACCATTACATTGAAAGGCAACATTTAGTGTTAAATTCAGTATCTCAAACAGCTGTATGCAAGCATGCAGTCAGCCGATTCAGTGAGCTATGAAAATGTCTGCTAACCTGCTGTTGTATGCTGCTAGTAACAAAATGTTTCCCATTACCATATAACATTAAAGTTTGCAGTGCAGGGGTGAAGGCACTAATGTAATGAGTCTCAAAAAGATATACTCACCTGTGTCCCGCCCCCTGCACTAATGTTGTATTAGTTAAGTGAAACTCCAATCTGAGTGTAACCTATGCTGCCCGCTGTGGTGGAGAACATGAAAAAACAACCCAAAAACTCAACCAGTGAATGCTGCAGACCCAATATAAGGAATGAATTCCTTTCTGACTGTCTGGTGATGATTAGCAGTCCCGTTGGGTATGTGATTTGGATAAGTCTCGTGTGTGTAAATAACCTCTGAGATATATGTAGCCATCTAGGAAAGCTTGTAAGAGAACAATTCTTATCACAAGGAACTATTTCATCTAGTTATACAATTTTATATATAAACTTATTAGTCTTCGTCTTGAAATAATAGAATTTTCTTGCTGCTTTCATTAGTCTACCAGAAAGCCTTTTCCTGAACTTATTGTAGAGATTTATTTATAGCTGATTTATTACTGTTTGATCTTATGCTGATAATATTGCTCCATTAATTTCTGTTTAATCATTCTAATCATCTTTCTTAGCAGTTATTCCAATTAAAGTTAATCTTCACTGAAACTGGTTGACCAGAACTGTACACAATATTCCTAATTAGGCCTTCAGTTCCTCTCACAACAAATGTCTTTCCTCATCCGTTTGTGAATTCATTAGTGTTTTCATAACTTCAGCAATCTTCATAGACGTCTTCCAATAGACTACTTCCAGTAGACTACATCGTCCAGTATACTTACTTTTTTTTGCACTTTTCAACCAATATGATCACCCAGAATTAATGAGCCAGAAGTTCTTAACATGTTCCCAAGTGCATGAATCCAGTCTTTCTACTATTAAATTATATCTCGTTTTAGCAATAAAATCAATACATTAATTTAATGCCTTTATAAGGTGATCTGGTCTTTGTAATAATGACAATACTGCAAAGCTTTATATTGTCTGCTAATTTCATCTATATTTTTCCATAAGATCTTTAAATAACTTATTAAACAGGACTGATAGGACACCTGGTAAACTCTCCTCATTCCATAACTACCTAGCCAGTGTAAGCTGGTGTTGATCCCTCTAGCCACATCCTTAGCTTCTTTAGAAACTTTGTATTAGCATCTGTCTTCTTCACCTTTAGCAAAACTTTTCTGCAGTGATATTGCATCAAATGCCTTATTTTAAATCTCTGATAAATAATATTCTTCTGTCTAATAAAGCAGATAACTTTTAAAAAGAGATATTAGATTGCTTTGAGATGATCCACTGTTGATAAAACCACATCATAATTTATACTGCTTTCCCTTTATCTCTCTGTCCCTAATTCTTCCTTCAAATTCTAGTACTTTTTCTTTTTTTTTTCTTATTTTCTTCTTTTTTTTTTTTTCCTTTTTTTTTCTCCTTTTTTTCCCCCCATTAAGTCAGTTTAATAAGTCTAGTGGTTGCAGAACCGTGTCTTTGTTCCCATTCTTACATAGTTTCTGCATTTACTGTTCACCAGTCATAAGATACTGCCTCCAAAAATCCTGGCAGCTGGATTTGCAATTTCATTTGACAGTTTCATATTTCTATATTCCAACATGGACATTATCCAGCCTGACTTATTTTTGCTTTATGAGATATTAAGAATGTTAACATTTATTTCTCTCTCAGGTGTCATAATTTCTGATGCTCTGCCTTCATTTTTACTCCTTACTCCTCTAATGTTCTCATCATGAACTTTATAGAAAATGGAGGCAAAATATGCATTTAATATGTGGATCAGACCTAGATTAATATTAATCTCTACTAAATCAAATCTCTATTAAATCATAAGTTCGGTATTTACAGCACTAATTCCTTTTTGTTCCCCATTCTTCAAGAAATCTCAGTCATTTTTGTTCTTTTTACATCCTCTGATTTCTGAGGAACAGTGTTCTTTGCTCTTGGTAAATTTGCATGTGTACAAAAGCAGCTGAAGGAAGCACGTAAGCTTTTTCTATTAGCTTTTTTCTTTCTTGCTTGCAATGTGAACTCCAAATAGTGTCTGCCCTTTGATTTTAAGTAATTCCTTACTTACTCTGTGTTTTAAAAACTCTGTATTCCTGAATTCGCTCTGTATGGTTTCTTTTGTTTCTTTCTAAAATCCCCAAAATTAACCATAGTCAGACCTGTTGTCTGTCCTGCAGTTTGATAAAGACTAATTCAGCTCATGATCACTCAATCCAAGATTATTTTCTATGAAAAGCTGTTCTGTAAGACCTTGTTTCTTGCTAAACCTATGTCCAAAGCAGCATTAATTTTCATTGGTTCACTGCGTATTTATTAAAGAAATCTATCTTACAGCAAGTTCAAGATAACCTAAGCCTTCAGCTCTTAGTGATGGCATTTATATTGCATCCAAGTTTGGGAGATTAATCTCCCACTTTCACACAATCACTACTCTTTATTTCTCATAATCTTACAGAGATTTTTCTTCATATTCTGTCCCAAGCTAAGTGATTCTGTAACAGTACTCCAAAGCTCTCTCTTCTAGGGCTTTTCAACTTTTAAAGAGATTGTGGTTTTTCACTACAGGATTAGTTTTCAACCTATGGTCCATAGTCCCAGGGAATTTCAGTGTCTACTCCTTTAGGGTGAGCAGAAGGTAATTAAGAAAGGCAAGTATAGTATCAGTAGTCCTAAATACCTATATTCTCTCTAGACAGCTTCATGCCTCCCTATTAATTGTTATATTAATTCTATAACTTACAGAGCTGCCCAATCACCCTTAGTCTTTTTTCTGTCCTTCTTGAATAGCTGAAAGGTTTAGCCCTTTACTCAAATCACACATACTTGTTCTGCCTGTTTCCATACTTGCAATATCCAGTCACATTTTAAGCTTGATGAAGGCTTGTTAGAACTAGTTGAATCTGTTTTATTAAAAAAGTAATTCAGTGGAGAATTACTCCCTCGACCGACGCGCCGTCGGTCGACTCCCTTGAGTGGTATGTACATAGTGGTATGTACAGCAGAAAGTAGACGGCGCGGTGGTCGAGGGAGTCTCTTTTGAGGTCATTGCATCCTTGAGACTTCTTTGGTCTCTCTGACAAAGCCTCTTATTTTGTCACATTTTTTTCCTGAGCTACCTGTGTGGTCCACTGCGGTCTAATTCAGTTCTGTCTTACAGCATTTCTTTATTTCAAATCAGGAACCCAAAGATATCTATCATTATATGAGACCTCCTCTTAGATAGCTTTCATGTATTGTTATTGACGGATCTCTAACCAGAATTTTTGTTCTCCCTTACAGTTTATTTTCTTTTTAGCTACTTAGATGATACTTAGACTGCTTCATACAGTTTCCGATGCATTTCTTGTATTTCTATGGGTTTTGGGACTATTCTAGTTCTGTTAAGGAAATCAATCAAAGGGAGATTATTGAGGTGATCATTTGATAATAACAATCATTACATTTAATAAGCTACCATATATATAGCTAACTATGGCATCTCTTTCTATCTGCACCCCAGAAAAATTACATTTCATTACCTACCCAGTCATGTTGCTGACAGAACAGATGTAGCTGCAGTCACAGAGCAGATACTGTTATCTCCAGTAAGGATTCGCTCCTCTGTTTCAAGCTCCACAGCCTGTAAAGGGACAGCCAAAAAGCAGTAGCTGCAGCTCCTCCGGCTGCCTTTATGCCTTCTGGGGAGCTGGCCCTGCCCTGTCCCAGGTGATGGTAGGGAGGGCGGTGGGCAGGGCCCGGGGTACATAAGCCACAGCCCCTGTGGAGGGAGCTTGTTCTGCTCTGGGACTTCTGTGGGGTTAGAGCTCTGCTGAGTCTTCAGTGACCTGCAGCTTTGGGGGGGATTCAGCTGTGGGGGTAAAGGTGTTTGAGAGGAGCAGAGGTGAAAAGTGTGAGGTAAAACCTTATGGACCAGGTAAGGTTTAGTGGTATGTACAGCAGAAAGTAGACGGAGCGTCGGTCGAGGGAGTCTATCTTACCTTATCTACTGACAATAAATTCTTCACTCTGTTGTGCTAAGGATGCTACTTTGATAGGAAAACAAATCTAGTTGGTGTTTCTGGCTGGTATTAACCAGTTTGTAGGCTTTTATTTTGTGCGTTATTAATACATAGTTGTTCTTTATAATTTGGGACTTTGCCTACACATATATGCCTTGATTTTCTATGTCCCATATGCACTGGACTGGGTGGTCCTTAAGTTGAAAGAAGGACCCTCTTAATGGCTGGTGGTGAAAGTTACCTGATTTTACCTGTTCTATGGTGACAAGCTCTAAAATATAAATCACACAAAGACATTGTAGACCCCTTCCTCAAAGGCTATTTTGCCATTGCTTGGTTTCTGTCGATGTCGGTTTCCAGGCTTAGACAGGATTGTTGGCTTGTCAACTTCTTTCGCCACCAAAGTATACGGGTTACGAGGGTGTCTGATGATCCGGTTCTGTAAACAGAAACTCACAATTTTCGTTAGTGTCATCAGTTTTATTCTGAAGGTCTGGTTTAATAGACCTAAGCGGACACCATTTGATTATGCCATCTTTTTTAACCGCGGCATATCCTCGCCCTGTAAGGACTAACCTCCACCCTTGTTCCCATTCTCCCAGCTCATTTCTAATTACAACTAACGGGCCTTCTTCTAGCGCTCTAGTGGCCCAATGTTTTTGGACAGGACTATTTACTTCATCTCCTCTGGGGAACTGGTTTAGCGCTAATAAAGCGGTTGCTAACAAGCGCGCCTGATCTCCTGAGGGAATAGCGTTAGTAAAACCTTCTGATTTTGCTAGTACCTCCAATTTTGATTTCAAAGTTTGGTTCGCTCGCTCGACTATGGCTTGTCCTGTGCTATTATATGGGATACCTTGTACCAGAGTAATACCCCATTTCTGAGCGAATGCTTGGACTGATTTAGATACAAAATTTGGACCATTGTCTGTTTTGATCTGATTAGGGACACCGAGCCACGCCATGGCCGTTAGCCAATGTTGGATGGTTGTTTTAGAGTCGACCTTAAGGTGTTGTGTAGCTACGATCATACCGCTATATGTGTCTACGGTTACCGCTAACCACGCTCGAGGTTTCAGTAACTGACAGAGCGTAAAGTCTGACTGCCACACCTCGGAGGCTTTGAGGCCTCTGGGGTTGACTCCGCTGGACCACAGTGGTGCTTTTTGACAATGGGGACATGTAGCTACTATGTGTTTCGCGTCTGTGGCTGAAATCCCACATCTCCTGGCTAGCGCTTTAGCTCCTATGTGGAGGGATTCGTGTAGTTGACGGGCATCTCTTAGTGTCCACACTCCTTTAGCGGCGGCGTCCGCTTTATCGTTACCTGTTTGGAAAAACCCTTTAATTGGATCGTGGCTGTTGACGTGGATGATCGATATGGTACCTTGTCGGGAAAAGAGCGCTTCTTCTAGCATTAGAGCTATTGGAGATGTTGACACGCCTGGCCCTGACATGGCTAAGCAAAGCTTGGCCACGAACATTGAATCTGTTACTATGTTGAGATGTTCTGTTGGGAACAGGCCGCACGCTAACACTACGGCCGCTGCTTCCAGCTGTTGAACTGAAAGCGCACGATCGGTCATTTTAATGCAGTGCCATTCTCCTCCTGATTGCCATACTGCTACTGCAGTTGAGGTCACTGAGGATGCGTCTGTGAAGACCGTTGGTCCCGACTGGGGCCGGTCCATGACCTTCCCTGGAAGGTCGATGTCGACAACTGCCAGCATTTGAGTCCAAGGGGGTTTCGCGGCGTACCGGACTTCCCCTCCAAATCCAACGAGGGCTATAGCTAGATGTTCTGACATTGCCACTGATTTCATCGGGACCTGCTTACGAAAGGGTATGTATATTGTGGCAGGTTCGATGCCTAGATGTCTTAGGGCGAGTTTCCTGCCCTTCATGATGAGGTTACCTATGCACTCCACTCCTGGGGAGAACGCACGTGATGATTTCCCCAGGACTATCCATTGTATTGGTTTAGCTTTTTCAGGGGGTCCCTGGGCCAATGCCCCTACTCCCCCTCCTTCCGTGAAGTGCACGTACAGATCGAGTGGTAAACTTGGGTTCCATCTGACAAGTGCACTTGATGATACCTGTTTCTCGATGAAGTCGAGAGAATTCATTGCTTCTGCCGTTAGAGTTTTTTCTTCCCATGGCTTCTTTCCTTTTAAGAGATCGTAGAGGGGGGTCATGGTTTCTGGAGGGATCAAGACGATATTGCGGATCCATTGCAAGGACCCTACTAGCTGTGGCATATCGTGGAGTGTTTGGACACTTTTTTCTTTTTGAAAGCAAATTAGGAAATATTTGGGTTTTTTTGTGAGCTTTCAGCATTTTGTCCAGTCCTCAAAAATACAGGTTGGAACCAAGATATTATAATATTAAAACTTTAGTGCTTTCTAATTTTTATTTTTTCACCGGGAGGATAAAATATTCTATTTTAAATGAAAGGAGTTCTAATGTAAATATTTTTGAGCTGGGTAATACATTTATGAAGTAGCTCCTGATCAAATTCTCTTTCAGAAGTTGTGCTTTGCTTCATTACCTGAACACTAACTATTACACTGACATTAAATGCTTCTGACATTAATGTAAGTCCTTTTTGAGGAGAAGAAACTAAACAAAAATGCAAAAGGCTGCAAGACATCAAAGTCTTCTCTGTGACAGCTGTGTTTTTAAAGTTTAGGAAACAATAGCAGAGCTAGGTGAGATTAGAAAATTATGATAATTAACAGAAAAAAAAAACAACCCACCAACAATCCTTCAAGCAGCCAGAACTAATTAGTGAAGACATTTTAAAATCCTGTTATTGAAGAGGCTGGATTTAGAATAAATACCACTTCCTTTCCCCACAAGAAGAGAGAAAATCTCACCTGTCGTACTTTATTAGGATTATCAGGAGTATATTGCTGCTGAGCCATCAGGCAGTACTGCAATAACTCTCAGTACACTGGTCAGCAATTATTGCCAGCATCCAAGTATGAAAAGCTGAGTAGAGAGAACTGCCTGTTTCACTGGATATTTTCTTTCCATATGATTTGCTACCCTAGATGCTATAAAGCACCTTGTTCTCAGAATTGTGCATGGTGTTCCAAAGGCACATTGTGGCTTTCCCCAAGGACAAACAAATAATGTCACCCCCAAATTAATGAATGGAACTGGGTGGAAAAGACAGTTTTGTACTCTCTGATGTAATCTACAAATAGATTTCTAGACATAAAATAATCAGCAGGATTCTCAGAAAATAGATTTTTAAAAGTCAATGTTCATCATAGTACCTTAATATGATGGTGCTCATATTTACAAATACTCCTATTGAGCAAATGACTTCAGTAGTGTAATTTTAAAGCGAAAATTAAATACACGACTATTCTAGAACCGCGGGTTAACTACTTATGATCTAGCTTTTGCTTTCTATTGTAGGATCCAGGTGTTCACTATCAGATCTTCTTGACTGATGACAACTTTCTATATTTGCTCTTTTTCTGTCTGGAACCATAATTGAATTAAGTGTATTTTGCAAAAGATTTGTTCAAGAATTGAAAGATTAATGGCCATGTGCCCAAGTGAGTTATTTCACCTTTTTTTCTTACAGATTTTAATCTTCATAATAATGTATAACTTGAACATTAGCCTTAGGTGCCTGATCAACAGAAATACTAATGCACAGCACTAACACTTTGGCTTTGTGAGCTCTTTCTAGTCTAGAGAACCAAAGCTTGGAAGGGATATCTGTATTTAGTTTTTTGTAAAAATGAAAAGAGCAGTCTTCATTTACAGATGCGAAAATAATACGCAAAAATTTATAGATTGTCAAATGATACATTTGAGTCCTACCTGAAAAAAGAATGTCCTATCCTGCTTTAATGAACAAGAGACAATATTTCCTTATTTGTCTTGACTAGCAATTTTGGGATGCTGTTTTTATAAAAATCTAGTGTAAGAGCTGTAAAAAGCATATGTTGTTTGCACAAGGAATTTGTGAATTGATATCAGATTGTGAATGTATAGAAACAGGACTATGTTTAAAAGCTGAAAGTGAATATCTGACTTCCAAGCAATATTTAGAATATGTGGGTGAAATTTTCAGAAGTGCAGTATGATTGTTCACATTGAAGATAACATTAGCTATTAGCTCTTGCAGTATTACTTATTAGTATTAGCTATTCTCTACGAGATGTTCATCAATATGAGAGATTTATTCTAAAATTGCTTACCTGTTTTAGGCGGTCTTATCTATTGTTATTTGGCAGTTGAATTGCTGAGCTGCTTCACAGTAGAAATAATTTATTAGAAAATACTTGTGGGTTTTGATGTGAGAGAGAGTTTCATGTCTTGACATTACAACAGATGAAATAATTTAACATGCCTGTCTGGCTTTCAGAAAATTTTATCTTCTCTGAGTTCATTGCCCATTTGGTTTAATCAAGAGGACCAGGAAACCTCATCCTAATAAGTTCACTGGTTCACTGCTTGCTGTAGGTGTTTGCTGTATTTTTTTTTTTTTTTTTACATCCAAGATTCTGTGTTGATGTGCATGATTCATTGCTGAAACAACTGCATCTAGGATAAGAAACACAGTTCAGTAACTTGTCTTCTAAAGAAAACATATTTTAAGAACTGGCATTTAGATAAGGTTCAGTTCAAGTCTCAAAAGTGGTCAGAAATAGAACTGTCACTCCAAATAATAATAACTATCTTTGCACAGTATCAGGAGGAGTATTGCATATCTATAGAATTTTATAGGCCCTGAAATGAGACTCAAATATGTTAATGACAGAGTTTGTGTTTCTCCTAAATTTATTTTTGGGAGGAGGAGGATATGAGGCTTTTCTAGCATTTCAATGTATTCTCATTTTTCTTTTAGCAACTGCTCTCTCTCCCTAGATATCCCGTGATGACAGCTTTATGCCTACTCACGTTAAAAGAGATTAAATATCTCCAGCATGCTTATGCACAAAATATGTCCTTCAGAGTCAATTATAACTTAGACTGGGGCAAATAGTGTGAAGTGTTTTGAACTGTTAAATGAATTTGTTTCAAACACACTTGCTCCTTCTTTTCACTTCTCCTTGCTCTCCAGATACTCTGGCAATCCCAAACGTCACAGAATGCAAACCCCAATGTTCCTATGTTGTGGGAAAGAGCCACATTTTACTTTCAGTTGCACAACAGTCGTTGTTTCTGTAAACTTATACAGTTGGGAGAGTATGCAAACATCCTGCAACATAGCTGACCAACTGCAGCTAAACACAGCTTGGATTTCGACTATTGCAGTTAAACAACAAGATCAATATTTTATTAGATATGAATAAAATCTGACTATTAAATTCAAACAGATTGTAGCCTGCTGGTGGTTTGTCCTGAGCATGCACTGTATCAGTATCACTGAACCAACAGTTCTGTTCAGGAAGACCTAGTGGACGAGGCCCTCTGTAGACAAATAGGAGCAATCTCACATTCTCAAACCCTAGTCCTCATGGGGGACTTCAACAACCCCGGTATCTGTTGGAGGGACAACACAGCAGGGCATAAGCAATCCAGGAGGTTCTTGGAATGTGTCAATGATAACTTCCTTCTCCAGGTGATAGAAGAAGCAATGAGGAGAGGTGCCATGCTGGACCTTGTTCTCACCTGCAAGGACGGACTGGTGGGGAATGTGACTTTCAAGAGCAGCTTTGGTTGCGGTGACCATGAAATGGTGGACTTCAAGATCCTTAGGGTGATGAGGAGGGCACACAGTAAGGTTGTCACTTTGGAATTCAGGAGAGTAGACTTCGATCTCTTCAGGGATTTGCTTAGCAGAGTACCATGGGATAAAACCCTGGAGGGAAGAGGGTCCCAAGAAAGCTGGTTAATATTCAAGTATCATGTCAAAGTGATGCATCCCGACAAAGAGGAAATCAGGCAAAATCATCAGGAGTCCTGCATGGATGAACAAGGAGTTCCTGGTCAAAATCAAATGGTAAAAGGAAGTTTACAGAGGGTGGAAGCAAGGACAGGAAAGTTGGGAAGAATACAGAAAAATTGTCCAAACAGTCAGGGATCAGGTTAGGGAAGCTAAAGCCCAGATAGAGTTGAATCTGGACAGGGATATCAAAGGCAACAAGAAAAGCTTCTATCAGTATGTCAGTGACAAAAGGAAGACTAGGGAAAATGTGGGCCCTTTCTGAAAGTTAATGAGAAACCTGGTCACCCAGGAAATGGAGAAGGCTGAGGTATTCAATGACTTTTTTGCCTCCATCTTTGGCAGCAAGGGCTCTAACCACAACACCCAAATTGCAGAAAGCAAAGTTAAGGACTCGGAGAATGAGAAACTGCCCACTGTAGAAGAGCAGCAGGTTCAAGACCATCTAAGGAATATGAAGGTGCACAAGTCCATGGGACCTGATGAGGTACATCCATGGTTGTGAGAATGGTACATAAGATGTTAAAAAATGCTGGTGTCCACTTATCTCTTGTGCAAACCTTGTGGGTGGAGATTTGTGAGGTCTGCAGGAGAAGCAGCCAAATGAGGGAGTTTTGCAGAGGCAGGGCAGTCCTGTTTTGGCTAAAGATTGCAGGAATAAGCAGATAAATGGTTTCAGCATACAATTTTGAAGGTCATTGTGTCCGGACCTTTTGCTTGATTATATGTGAAATTAATATTAAAGTTGATAGTCCTGAATATGATAGCAATCTTAAAGAAGAACATGCTAAACATACATGACTATAGTCCTTGACTCGCCACCAAAATAATGTTAAATGTCACTCCAGGATGGGGAACGGATAAGGTTAGGATATAAAGGAGATTGAGGAAAGCATCTCTCAGAGATCTCTCAGGGAGAGAAGAGGCTAGAGACCTGGAAGAGTTGATGGTCTGTGCTTCTGTTCCCCCACCAAGGCAGAGACATCTTCTTGGTAAGCATTGCACCTTCAGCTCTTGGTGAAGAATACCCGAGATAACATTTATTTTGCTAGCACTACCATCATATATAAGTGCTATTGCAGCTAGTGCATTTATCAATGGCAATTCCTAATCTGTTTTATTTGTCGCTTCAATAAATCATCTATTTTCAACTTTGTGAAACTGTCTCAGTGAAAGCCCTTTGAGGGGCTTACACAGGCAAATGTGAAAACTATACTCATAACACAACAGCGAGTCCTGAGGGAACTGGCTGATGGAGTTGCCAAGCCACTATCCATCATATTTGAGAAGCTGTGGCAGTCTGGTGAAATTTGTGCTGACTGGAAAAGGGGAAACATAACCCCCATT